GTACAAAGAAAATAAGGAGGATCTACACATAATATCATTAAAGATATGTATATCAGAGTTGTTACTTGTGTTCAAACAGAAGGATGATTGACCAAATATTTTCGTTCTTCTAGATAAGACTAGAGAAAGAGTTTAGGAAAAAAATTGAATTATGGATGTCTATATTGGCATCTAAAGACGTCCATTTGAGTAGATCTAAAACCGAATACATGGAATGTAATTTTAGTAGTAGTAGCTTTAGTGGTATAATTGTAACTATGGGTGATCAAATCATTAAAGGTGTGAACGTTTTAGATATCTCGGGTTTATTGTTCAAAGTGATGGTGATATAGATGGGGATGTTATTAGTAGAATTCAAGTTAGTTGGTCGAAGTGGAGGAATGCATCAAGCATAATGATAAAAAAGTAACGCCTAGACTTAAAGGAAAATTTTATAAGATGGTGGTGAGACCTAAAATGCTCTGTGGTGCAAAATGTTTACGTTTAAAAAGAATCATAAAACAAAGTTAAGTGTTGATGAGATGAAAATGCTTAGGTGGATGAGCGGCTTGACATCTAGAGACAAAATGTGAAATGAATATATCCATGATAGGGTTGGTGTAGCTCCAGTGGTGGACAAAATTAGAGAGAGTCATCTTACATAGTTTGGTCACATTAAACGTTAACCATCTGATGATCTGGTTAGAACGGTATATGTTTTAGATTCGACTTATGTTAAGAAATACAAAGGTAAACTTAAAAAGACTTGGGCATATTGTATAAAAAATTGATCATAATCTAATAGACATGGAATTAAACAAAAATATGATACTCAATAGGACGCAATGGAGAAAAAAGATTCATGTAGCCGACCCCACTTAGTGGGATAAAAGGCTTGTTGTTGTTGTTGCTATTAAAAGTAATGATCGTGATGCTAGATTTGATTTAACTTGTTATTGTGTGTTCAAACTTATCATAATTTAAGTTGAAGATTTCAAGGTCAATTTGAACTTTTAAATGCCTTATGTGATAAGTTCCTAAAATATTGTCATTATCATTACATATCTTTTGTATATCATCTCTCTAAATATTGTGAGTAATTTATTTTGGTAATATTGTTGATTGAATTGATTTGTGTGGGGGGTTGTCTAATCAAGGGGTGATTCATTTTGTAAGTACAAATGTCTTGAACTTTCTTTTTCTTTTGTGTTGAGTTATAAGGGTTTATTACAAAGCCCATGAGAAATACAAAGTTTAGTGTGTGAGGAGAAGTTGATAGTTAGAGGAAAGAAATTTGGGCTTGTAGTACTTGTTCAAGAAATGTACTAGCAAGTGTGTTTTCACAAGAGTTTATGTGTTCATCTGAACGAGCACAATTTTTATTTTGCTGGAGGATCCTAGCCAAGGGTGGCTAGGTGTGGATGTAGGCAGGGGGTCAAACCATGTAGAAATCTCATGTGTTTTGTTTCTCTTTTTGTGCTTTGTTTTTGTTGTGGTTGTTGCTCTTAAATTTCTTTAGAATAAATCAACACAACTAACTCTTCTACTAAAAGAAAACAAAATTTTTAAAAGAACCTCAAATTGAAAAACTTTAAAACACACCCATTTTACCCCCTCTTAGGTGTTATAGTCACTTTCAATTGATATCAGAGATTAAAAATGATTGCAAAATTATCCTTTTCTCTTATTTAAAAATTCTTTTGAAAAATGATTTGTAGACACTACCTTATTCTTAGAGAACCAATAAAAGTATTTTGGTAGTTCAAATATATGTAGATTAAATCTTATTTGGATCAACAAACAAAACCTGTGTGAAGAGTTTGCCTCCAGTAATAGTCAAGAATTTAAAATGAGTTTAAGAGCAGAACTCACATACTTCCTAGGATTTAGGATGGAGCAAAGAAAAGATGATACATTTTTACAACAAAAACAACACGTCTTTATCCCACTAAGTGGAGTCGGCAAAAGATGATATATTTTTGAATCAAACAAAATTGATAAAGGAATTACTTAAAAAGTTTGATATGATAGGGATATAAACATGCAAACATCCCAATGATCCCTAAAACCCAACTAGATAAGGATCCAAAAGAAAAATTTGTAGATATCATGTTTGGTGTATATTTGTGTGCACAACTTCAATCTGACCCTGACGAATCACACTTGATTGCAGTAAAAAGGATCTTTAGATACCTTGTAGGAACTCCGAGATTAGGAAATTGGCGCTCTAGAAGTGGTATATCTTTTGACCTAGTTGGCTATTCATATTATAGTTTTGTCAGATGTAGGGTCCATAGGAAAAGTACATCGAGAACTTGTCAATTTATAAGACACTCTTTAATCTCCTGCTCTAGCAGAAAAAAAAATTCAGTTGCACTGTCCACTACAAAAGTGGGATATATTGTTGCAGGAAGTTGTGTTGCCCAAGTCCTATGGCTGCAGCAACGACTTTTTGATTTTTGTCTAAAAATTGACACCATTGTAATAATGTGTGAAAATACAAGTGCAATTTATATTACAAAAAAATCCTATTCAACACTCCAAGATAAAACATATTAATATTCTCCCCACTTCATTAATAATCATGTAGCTAAAGGCCATGTTGATATTCAATTTATTGATACTGAAAATCAATTAGTAGATACCCTCACAAAAGCACTTAGTCCTTAAAGGTTTTGCTCATTTAGAAGTAGACTAGATATAATTGCCCTTAATAAATAATCCCTTTGGTTCTCCAACATACACTTGGACTTACAAATTATTTTTGATGATAACAAAAGGGGTAGAAACGGAAAATGTTAGTTAAGTATGATATGCATAAATATAGGGGGAGATCACAAATTTAGGAGGAGACAATACTTACTTTCATATGCTTTCAATTATTTATCATCTTAATTTTCACTTGCAATTATTTTTATTTAATATTTTCACTTGCATATTCTAAGGAGTAGTCATTTTATCTCCATCCACTTAAAACCAACATAAATTTGTCATAAGAAAAAAAGGAGATGGTTGACCCTAGGGTTGCCCCTCGTGAGCCCTAAACTAATGGGTTTTGATTAGACTTGGGTGTTGGGCGGGTCGGGCTTGGAGTGGGCCGGGCTTATTCGGGTTTGACCTGTCAAAGTGAGCTCGGGTCAAACTTTGAGCCCGATTTCTATTTAAAAAACCATAGCTAAGCTCGCCCACTCCATCAGCTGAGGCGAGCCGGCCCCCGGGCCTCAAAAAGACAATAAACCAAGGATAGAAACGTTCGCTTTAGTCTTTGTGATACAATAGAGAATAAAAAGACCGTAAATCAAGATAATATGTAAAAACAGGTAGATGCAATTTAATTTAGAGAGTTTTTTTTATACCTTCTTCATTTATTTAAGGAGGAAATGGTCCAGAAAGAGAGCTTCAGATGGCAAGAGATATTAATTAGTCTAATTTTTATCACTTGTGAACTCCTAATCCAAAACATTATAATCAACGATACTCTCGTCATACCTGATTTAGTTTTACAAGACTACAAGAAAAAAATGGAGCTAAGAATATTGATCCTACACGTGATTCAAAGACCCAACTCAACTTTAGATCCAGCTATGTTCTATTGCATGAATATCATTTTCATTTGATATATATATGTTTATGTAATTTTATTTCATGATGATAGTGTTTAACATGGATATAATGGCTAATTTGAATACAATGCGAATATGTGATGTGAAAAACCAATCTTGGACTTTATCAAAAATAAATAAATATATAACTTTCAGTGTTTGTTATGTAAATACATAAGAATTGTGTAGTGCATATATAAATAAATTAAGATTTATTTTCAGGTTGAATATATGCGGGCGGGTCGAATTTGGCTTCTTCCGGCTTTGACTAAGCCAAAATGGGCTCAGACCGGGCCGAGCCGACCAAATTTTTATTTTTCATCAGCTAAGCCCGCAAATTCTAAGCGGACATATGACGAGCCTATTGGGCCACCCGCCAGATGCTCATGTCTAGTTTTGATGATAACCAAAATATGTAAGAAATAGTACTAATGATTTTAATTCATATATTTCAGGCGAAGCACCAAGTGTGGCTTAGTTCAGACAACTCATGGAGTTGGATCGGGAATGGAGCTTGATAGTTAGGTGAGCGAACAAATTTTGCTTGAACACAATATTAAAATGGTCGTTCACAATACTTCTATGATCGCATCATAGCATTTTGAATGACATAAATTTCTAAGTCAAAACTAAAATATATAAAAAAAAATCAAACAATTATTATTTGGGAAAATTTGAATATTTCATTTACAACCATTCTTAAACTACTCAATTAAACCTAAAATGGAGTTTATTAAATCTTAATAATATCACAATATTAATGATATAAAAATTGGTTTAGAATTTGACCTAAAATTTTTAAATTATCTAAATTAGTCTTTTAAATTATCCTAATTATTATTCTCCCTCCTACATTATCAAAAGAATAATTTCAACTTAACAATCATCAAATGGCAAATTTTTTTGAAATAAATTGAATCAATAACAACAACAAACATCTATCCCACTAGATGGGGTCGGCTATATGAATCTTTTTTCTCCATTGTGACCTATTGCCTGTCAAAATAAGTTGAAACAAAATAATAAAATATAATATTGTTAATAATTAAGATTTAATGAACTCCATTTGACATTTAATTAATTAATTTAAGATGGTTGTAAGTAAAATACTCAAATTTTCCCAAATTATAATTATTTGATTTTCTATGTATTTTACTTTTGACTTAGAAAATTTATAAATGCAAAATGCTATGATACGAAGTATAGTGAGTTAACTGTTTTAATATTATGTTTAAACAAAATTTGTTCACACCTAATTACCGCATTATTCCTGGTCCAACTCCCTGAGCTGACTGAACTGAGCTGAGCTGAGCTTGGTGCTTCACTGAAACATCTGCATTAGTACTCTCCACAAATAGATTGATTATCATCAAAAACCCATTAGTCTACGGCTCATGAGGGACAACATTACTACATTACCTTCCCATATTGAAGGCTAGCAGCATCACGATAGAATTCTGGATCCGCTTCCTTCGCTTTATTGTAAGCATCCATGTCAATTTCTATTTTCTTTGTGCGCTTCTTGTAGGCATTGTACAATGTTCTCTGATTGAAAACTGAATATAGAAGAATTTATCAGCATAAAGTTGACTACATATAAGAAAAGGGAGTTTTTTAACTCGTAAAAAACTAGATAATTTTGCAGACTTGAAGCAATAAAAGCTAGACAGCTAAAAGCAATAAGAAAAAAAATATGAAAATAATTTGCCTGAAAAAAAAAATCAGAAATTACTGACCAATAGAATAATTAAGCTTTCACAGCATTATCAAACCTTTTCTTTCCTTGGAAAGAATATTAGTTCAGACATGAACAGCAATTAGCACAATGTTAAGTGTCCCCTCAGACTAGTTCATGGATAGCTCACCTTGAATTATAAATTCCAACAGTAACTGCTAACAGGCATGATTTTCAAAAGGGAATAAAAATATCGAAGGAAAGCCCTAATACAAAAAGGATGGGAAGAAGTTTATACGAAGTTAAACAGTTGAACAGCCATAATCTAGGGAAAATTCACGCATTAACTCGACAAAAATGGAATTAAAGACAGCTACACAAAAATCTTGAATGAAGGTTTCTCAACAAAATACTAACCATCCCAACCAGATGGAGCAGGATCCTTTTCCCAATTCTTGTACTTTGCTTCAGCTGCCTCCTGTGTATCAAGCATGTAAGCCTTGCTCAAATCCAAACCATTTGAATCAAGTAACTTTCCAATCTTCTTTTTTCTATCCTCCAGCCATTTTTCTTTGGACACGCCCCTTGATTCAAATTCACCTTCCGATTTTCTTTTTTCAGTAACCATGGCCATTTGGTTCGCTTTTCTAGCCTCATTCTGCAAAACAAAAAAGGAAAGTTTCCATAAAAGTCAAACAAAGAGAGATTTTTTTAAAGCGTGCGGTATTTTGATGAAGCATATTTACCATTTTAAGTCTCAAGTCAAACAATTTCTTCTGCCTTTCACTGAGATTTGGATAAGCTTCTTCGGCAATATTTTGAGGATGATTGTCCTCATTCTCATCATTTTGAGGGTCAGATTCAGATATTTGATAAGGTGCCACTTCATTTTGAACAGAGGCATATTTTGAGGATGCTACATTATCATTATGTTGCTTTCCTGCAAATAAAATGCAATTATCATAATTAAAAGGTACAAATCACTAATAATGCATGAAGTGTGATGAATGAGAGCAGAGCAATGAAAAATTCGCAAGAAGATAAACAGAAACTAGAGAAGACAAATATACAATTTTTGGGTAATTTAAACCCAAAGCTTCAGCTTTTTGATAAAGTAGTGAGGAGGTAACTTCTTCCAAAACAATAATTTAATTCAAACTTCAATGCTTCATGCAATATATTTTTAAACTTAGCGAGGCCTGAAGATAACAATCGGAAGAAATTAAGCTGAATATTACAGGCTTAAACCAAAAAGACAAAAATATTACTCACCCCTCCAACATTTCTTCCGCAAATGAATCATAAAATCACAAAATAAAGCTTGCATGATAGAATTATTTAAGGGTACAGAAATTAAATTCCCTTAGTCGAATATAAAACATTCATGTTACATAAGGTCTTTTAATTGATAGATGGAGCAGAAAATGGATGGCATTCAGAAGGAGAGTTTTTGAGCAACAAGGGATGAAGGAAGTAGCATATAGGCTCAGGTTGGCTTGAGCTAAAGTCTCAACAATTTTTTATCAATGTTTGGGTAAATTTCATAAGAGAATGCAAAAATTGGACAAAGTGTGGTTAATGAAGCATTAATCTAACCTGATTAATAAAGCAAAACAACAACAACAATAACAACAACAACAACAACAATAATAATAGCAGCAACAAATCGTTGAGATTGATCGTATCCACAAATTATTATATTTAACCAACTCATTTTGGCCCAACTTGAAACTAGACTGACCCACTAAATGCCTGGCAATTATCACCAAGTTAGACATGAGAAAGAAGCAAGCTTTCAATTCGAATTAAATGCAGTAACTAATCAAAATAAGAATGTAAAGCAAGTTGGCTCATATTCAAACATATAATCAAAAAAAGATCAAGTCTAATTATTTTTTACAAGAGTTGGGCCATGTTAAAAAACTTAGCACATAGCTACCTTTCTTGAGACATCTGGTCAAACGATGATATTCATGCCCATTTTGGCTTTAACTTCAAACTAACCTGCCCTGCAAAGTACCCAACTATGATCATTGAAGAAGTAAATGAAGAGGAAAGCTTAGCTCTCAATGCCAAACAATTAAATAATGTGTTGTGAATGGAAGGGAAGGATGATTCAACATTGTTCTAAGATAAAAAAATCTTTGCTAATTTTTAGTTTAGATTGATTTTCATCTAAAATTACCATACTATTATCATATAATAGATCTATATCTAGGAGGCTCCATTTGTTGTGAGTTAACTATCGGAGCATGCATTGTTCGCCTAACCTAGGCTTGGTAAGTGCTTCTGCATATAAATTGCTGAAATTTCGATATTGTTATATGCAAAAGTTTTAGCAAGAAAGTTTATTAATATAGTCGCATTAGAGAGAATGGTTGTTTCTTGATCAACACCTCTTTAAATTGTTGAGTGACCAGCTGAAATAGATTAGACCACCCAACTTCATTTCCATCGTGTCGGCCAACTTTTTTATTTGAAAATAATTTTTAAATTTAATTTAATATAAGAGGTATATAATTTTGATTTTTGAAAGTAGTGTGTTTTAATTTTCGAAAAATGAGACCAAATGAATCTCATTCGTCCAATAGTCTATATAATCGTGTCCGATACCACGAATATTACACCTTCCCGAAAGATAAGTGCATACCTCGGCGATGGACCCAATCATACAAACTAAAAGATTTGTGGCATCTGTTTGGTCTGCGAATCTTTTGTGACCGACAAGTTCCCCTATCTAATTTAAAGATTCAATAGGATTTATTTTACCAGAGTGTCAAGTTCCCTACAGAGGCAAGACCCTGTATTTAATTATATCACAAATGACTGGGGTCACTTGAGAAAACTTTTGATAATGATCAGAGGTACTAGTCTTCAAGAATTCAAGATTTAGGTTTTCGCGGTAAGACGTAATTGGACATTGGAAAAGCAAGTGGGAGTGGCTCAAGTAGGAACATTTATTTTCAGGAGTCGAAGAAAGGAAACGGTAGAGGTTGTCACAGATCCTGAGGAGGTCGCCCACTGACTTCCCAAACTATCCTACTGTGTGACTGCGTTTTGAAAATGATATTATTTGAGTGTTCAATCCTGTCAATTTTCTTATTTGAGACTTACATTTGCATAATATATGATTATGCAAATAACCCGTAGAGATACGAGGGTTTACGCCGTACTGGACAACAATCTCCGAACCTATGGTGAGTTAGGATTTACGCTGCACAAAATAGTTTCACAGGAGCCTAAAAAGTGTGTGAGAATTTACGTCACGTTGGGCGAGATATCTCGAAGTCCTATGGGTTGTTATTGTTTAATTCTATGGAGAGGTTTACTGATGTAGACCTATTTGCTATCTCGAAGATGTTTTTTTGTATGTCCTCGTCGTGCTGCACACTGTGTTAGCTCCAAACTCCTTGTTGAAGTAGCAGTTTTAAGGTTAAGAAGGTTTTGGTTAAAGGTTTTACGTTTCACAATTTTTGTGTCAAAGTTTGATTTTATTGTTGTTGTTTAAATGTCATATTTGGAGGGTTTAATTTAATTAGAGTGACACTGACTAGGATCTCACGATTCCTTTATTCCGGCATCACTATTTTCTTTTAAATTTACTTAATCAAAATGAGTTATTAGTCTCGTTTAGACTGAAGAATTCTCATTAGCAATCATGGGTTACCTCATTCAAAAGATTTTCGTAAATCCAAAATGGGTGGATTAAGTGCGTTCAAAAGGTTTAAAAGTGTACATTAATTTTTTGAAAATATATTTTTGTTGTTTTGCAGGTAATGTAAAGCATACATGTTGTTTGTGAGTAATGTAAAGCATATACAAATGAAATCTACAGGAAAATAAAATAAAATGTGGTGCAGAAAACTGTAAACTGTGTACCTGGGCATCTGCTACTGTTGCAATGTTAGCATCACATGTGAAAATAAACAGGTATGGCTAAGGATATTACAAACACATCGAATATGAGCATACATATAGAAAAGAGCATGTGACACATGAAAACTCGAAAATGACCTGTAAAAATTTAAGTCATGATGGGCTCAGAGCTGGGTCGTGTGCTTCATAATCCAACTTTGGATAGATGTCACCAACCCAAACTATTGAAGGAATGAGCTCATGACCACAATCGAGATGATTAACAATTGGACCTTGATGGAATTTTATCAAAGCTTCTTTAATTTTTTCATGCATTCAGTATTTTATTAGCAGTCAAAAGTAGTGTTTGTTGTGAAGTGATATGTTCGTAGTATCTGTGTAAACTTTATTTTGGAGAAGTGTAGTATTTGTGTAAGTTTAGTATCTGTGTAAGTGTTTAGAAAAACAAAATGATCTGCAAGCTGCTCACTTTGATTGGGCCAGAACTGAAAGCAAGGGGGCAACTTCGCACCAAGAGTTGGTGAATAGTTTCATCGATTATGCTCTCCCTTTTTAGAGGGTCATCGAGGCAGAAGATACTATTATATTGTCTCTTCTTCGGACGCATAAGCACTTTCATCATCGCCCTAAAAAAACAAAATAAAATGAAGGGAAAAAGTGAGGAGACTGACCCAACTCCCAAAATTGACGGGGAGTGGGCCAGCTCAAAATGGTGCTTAAATCCTCAGAAGATCACAATCCAGAAAAACCCAAAACTGTAGGCAAAGGTGCCCCCGCGCCACCTCTGAACCGTGTTTAAATCGGCACTTAAAGGCTACATGAACCTTCACCAAAATAATTATTTATAGTGCCCCAAACATCTATTTTACATACCCCAAACTATTGTTTAAAATGCTCAAAACAACCATTTAAAAGGCTGGAAACAACCATTTAAAAAGCTCCAAACAACAGTTTTTAAACCTCTTAAACAGCAACGGAAACATTCTCAAAACAGTGATTTATAGTACTCAAACTCAACGAACAAGAATGTGAACAAAACCCCCAAAACCGCTCTAAAAAAAGAGAAGCCCCCAAATAGGATCCATATAAGCCCAAACAACAGCTAAATGAGCCCAAACAACAATTATAAAACATCGTACAGCTCCAAACAATATTTAGCAACTCCAAACAACAATTCTAAAATATCCTATAGCTCCAAACAGCAGTTCTAAAACATCCTACAGCTCCAAACAACATTTAACAACTTCAAACAGCCATTTAAATGTCTCAAACAACAATTATAAAACATACTACAGCTCCAAACAACAATTATAAAACATACTACAACTCAAAACAGCAATTTTACAGCTCCAAACAGCACCCTACAACACTCCACAACATCTTTAACACCTCAAACAATAATTCATAACATTACGCAGCATTTTTAACGTCTCAAACAATAATTCGCAGCACTATATGGTATTGTTAACACCTCAAATAGTAATTTGCAGCACTACACAACACTTATCACACCTCAAACAGTAATTCACAACATCTTAATTAACTCACAAAACATATTTTTAGAGGCTCCAAAACAGTGAGGAATTTGAGCAAGAACAACCCCCCAAAACCCTCCAAAATAGCGAATATAGTGCCCAAAATAGTGAGGAATTTGAGCAAGAACAACCCCCCAAAACCCTCCAAAATAGCGAATATAGTGCCCAAAATAGTGAGGAATTTGAGCAAGAACAACCCCCCAAATCTTAATATGAAATTCGAGCTTTAAGTATCAGATATACAAGTATATAAAACTTAAGAAATGTGTATGTAAATGCTGCATTGTCTTTGTATTTGCATTGGTAATACTAATTTCCACAAATCAAAGTATGAAAGTTGCAGATTTTCTTTCCCCTTTATCGAAAGCATTGGCGGGATGTATATATGTCACACAAATCTTATGTATATGCACATATCCAACACCTAAACTTATCTTTAATATTAATAATAACTAAATCTTCTATTTCACCACAACAAGAAATGTCATCATTTCAATTTCTAAGAAAGTGAAATACACATTTTCATGCA